AGAAACTGTAGTTTGAGCAGTTTTTGATGTTTGGCACGTTTCTCAGGTGTGAGAGATTCAAGGGACGAGCGTGGACGGTGCTCCATGATGTTTTAAATCACGGGAATTGTGGTCTGATGATACAGAAGGGACAATGATTATGGTCAACGAACAATGATTTTGGTCGTTGATGACCGTGATGAAAGGATGGATGAGATTTGAAACGGATTGATTGATTTTCAAGTTTCGATCGAAAGACTCATTTCATTTCATGGTTACCGAACAGTCAAATGGATGATGAACGGTCAATGATGATCATTTTGATCTTTCGTTGACCTTTTTGGACAACTGTTCGGTAACGTAAAACAACAATCTCTATCCGCCCATCAAAAACTCTTTTTGATGGGCAGATTGAAATTTCGTTTTTGTGTAACGATTTTTGGGAAAATCAGCCGAACGGGCCCTTAGATATGAAAGATACAAGAATAACCAATGATATTACCCTTTTTGATGTTAAGAATGCCACAACACTAAGAGCAAGAGCGCTGATTGATAGCGGAGCTACTCACAAAGCCATAAGTGAATCATTTGTACGAAAAAATCAATTGAATGTCGAGCCTTTACCACAAAAGTGTAGTGTAACAGGCTTCAATGGACATGAAACTGCAATCACGCATTCAGGAGATTTTGCAGTGAACTCAAGAACCAAACCAGCAACAACTTTCATTGTAACCGAGTTGAGAGATTGATACGATGTCATATTGGGAATGTCGTGGATCAAATCAAACCACAACTCCATCGACTGGACCAACAGCCAATTAAAGATTGAAGAACCGCTCATTGCAGTTGTTGAAACAACTTTGTCGGATCCAAAAACAACCTCGCAAGCCCAAGGAATGGAGCCCAAGAGGCAAGCTAGGATTTTTGACAAGGGGGTGGAGTTAGATAACTCATTAACACCCCCGCAATGTGAGTGTGTTATAACTAAAGAGTCAATTCATGCAGAATCAGCTGGCAAGCCGACCTTCCTAGAACTCTTAACAGATAACGACGGCAATGACAACAATAAGAAAACTGAAGAAAATAAGAGACAAGAAGTCCAAACTGCAACTGTTAACAACACAGTTCTGTCCACGCTGAAAGAACCCTCGGAGATGCACCCTGACGTGGAGCCTACGAGGCATGCTAAGCAAAGCAACAAGGGGGTAGAGATCTTAAAAGACTCGTATATACCCCCGCAGAGTACGTGTAGCGTTTCTTCGTCATTAAAGTTTAAAGAACTGGCAAGCAACCTTTTATTCCAAAACAGATGACAATCAAATGCCTACAGTCGAGGCTACCACGGATCAACACAGCTCTGAATCAATTACGAAGATCTATGCAACCTACGATGGCTATGATTGATGCTGCCAAAGCTTCATGGAACGTATCGTCGAAGTTAGCTGCTGAACAAGCTAAGGATGTGCCAATTAAATCAGCTGCAGAACTAGTACCAGAGTGTTATCACAAATACCTACACATGTTCGAAAAGGCCAACTCAAACACCTTGCCACCTCACCAACCATACGACTTTAGGGTAGATTTAATACCTGGAGCTACTCCTCAAGCGGGAAGAGTGATTCCATCATCGCCTAGGGAAAGTGAAGTCTTACATGAAATGCTGGAGAAATGACTGCAAAACGGGACCATCCAAAGAACAACGTCTCAATGGGCAGCTCCTGTATTATTCACAGGAAAGAAAGATGGCAATTTAAGGCCGTGCTTTGATTATCAAAAATTGAATGCTGTCACAGTCAAAAATAAGTATCCTCTTCCGCTTACAATGGAGTTGATAGACAGCCTCCTGAATGCAGACAGATTCACATCCTTAGACATGCGTAATGGATACAACAATTTGCGTCTACGGGAGGGAGACAAAGCAAAACTTGCGTTCATATGCAAAGAAGGACAGTTCAAACCTCTGACAATGCCTTTTGGACCAACAGGAGCTCCCGGTTTCTTTCAGTATTTCATTCAAGATGTTCTCAAATCACACATTGGTAGAGATGTGGCTGCATACCAATATGATATTTTAATCTATACAGGACCAGGTGTAGACCATGAAGCGGTTGTCAAAGAAGTTTTAAAAATATTAAAAAATCAAAATGTCTGGTTGAAGCCTGAGAAATGTAAGTTCTCTATGAAGGAAATATCATATGTAGGTCTCATAATCTCCAAGAATCAGATAAGGATGGACGAGAGCAAGGTGAAAGCGGTGAAAGACTGGCCAACACCTCAAAATGTAACAGATGTCCAAACATTCCTAGGCTTCTCAAACTTTTATCAACGATTTATAGATCAATTTTTGAGAATAGCTCAACCTCTACACAAATTGTCACAGAAAGGAATTGAATTTGCATGGACTGATGAGCGTAATAGAGCTTTTGAAACATTGAAGTCTGCTTTCACGACAGCACCGGTATTAAAAATTGCAGATCCATTTCGACCTTTTATACTTGAATGTGACTGTTCCGACTATGCTCTCGGTGCGGTGCTGTCACAAGTATCAGAGGACGATAATCAACTTCACCCTGTTGCATATTTATCGTGATCTTTAATTCAAGCTGAAAGGAATTATGAAATATTCAATGAAGAGCTTCTGGCAGTGGTAGCTTCCTTCAAGGAATGGAGGCAATACCTTGAAGGAAACCCAAACCGCCTCAACGTTATTGTGTACACCGACCACAAAAATCTAGAGTCACTCATGACGACAAAGGAACTTACTCGGAGGCAGGCAAGATGGGCGGAAATCTTAGGCAGTTTCGATTTCGAAATACGCTTCAGGCCAGGAAGACAGTCGACTAAACCTGATGCATTATCAAGACAACCTGACTTGATGCCGCCAAAAGGAGAAAAGCTGACGTTTGGTAAATTGCTTAAACCTGAAAATCTACCGAGTGATGCATTCATTGATTCTTTGGAAGTTATGGAGCTATGGTTTGAAGACGAAACAGAGTTTATGGAGGGAGAAGTTGCAGTTGAAGAGGAGGACGAAGAAACTCAGAACATCATGACAGACATTGACATTTTAAATCTTGTGAAAGAAAAATCAAGACAAGACAAGAACATTCAAGAACTAATGAATTTATGCATTGAAATGCCGACATCAAAGCTGATCAAAGAATACCGAGTCAAAAATCAAATTCTATACCTCAAGAACAAAGTAGTTGTACCTCAAGATATTGAATTGAAACTACAAATTTTACGCTCAAGACACGATAGTAAGCTGGCTGGTCACCCTGGAAGGATGTGCACATTGGCTTTAATCATAAGGTCATTCCATTGGCCCTCGATGAAAGCCTTCGTCAACAAATATGTAGACGGATGCCAATCATGCCAGAGGGTGAAAGCAAGAACCAAAAAACCATTTGGAAGCTTAGAATCTCTTCCGATCCCAGAAGGCCCGTGGCGACACATCTGCTATGACCTAATCACGGATTTACCAACCTCGAATGGCTTTGACAGCATCTTAACTGTCGTGGATTGTTTGACAAAAATGGTGCATTTCATTGCATGCAACAAAGATATGACTTCAAATGAATTGGCTGAGCTGATGGTAAGAGAGGTTTGGAGGTTACATGGTACGCCTTGCACAATGACCTCAGATAGAGGTAACATATTCATCTCAAGAATCACAAAGGACTTCAACAAAAGGTTGGGAATCAAAACTCAGGCGTCGACAGCTTATCATCCGCAAACTGACGGGCAGACTGAGATCACCAATAAAGCGGTCGAACAATACATACGGCATTTCACATTGTATAAACAGGATGATTGGTATGAACTGCTGCCTTTGGCAGAGTTTTCGTATAACAATAATCAACATGTGGCAATTGGAGTCTCTCCATTCAAAGCCAATTACGGATATGATGTAAATTTTACTGACATCCCTGCGAGTGAACAGTGTCTGCCATTAGTCGAACAGCGAATAGAGCAAATCAAAAGAGTGCAACAAGAGTTGAAAGATACGATGGCGTTGACTCAAGAATCTATGAAATCTCAACATGACGCTAAGGTTCGAACGACGCCCAAATCAACACTGGCACAGCTGCGCTGTGCTGCGCTTCAGGGGTGGCAGCGGGGGGCGCAGCGGAACCCCGCTGCTCCAAATCTCGAGAGTGGGAAGCGAACCGGTCACAGCGCAGCTGTTCATCGCTGCTCGAAAATTGTGGCCATGGCAGCGCGACGGCAAAAAGAGCCGCTGCGCTGCCGAAGCGCCGTCAGCGTTGAAAAAAAGCCAAAAAAAACATTTCAACAATTGTATTGGTGAAATAATGTATTGAACATTGAGTATACTAAAAGGATATATCAAAGGTTTAAAAAAAGGTGATGAAAGAATGACAAGAAATATAAAATAATTGAGAAGAAAATGAGTGAAAAAGAAAGGCCGGGCCTTGAGCAAACTAAAGAGCCAAATCAAGTACCGGAAGATCGTGACATATAATGTGCCTTAACGTAACCACTGTACTCGGACATCCGACAAACCTCCATTAATTTCATAAACTCTGCGCCCAGAGAAACCCCCTCACGAAGCCAGATAAGGGTTGATACAGCCCGTTCAATTGTGATTGCCACTAGGCTGCCACGACTGGCAGCACACACGTCAGCGGCAGCCGAGAATATTCTCTCAGGTGCAGCTGATGAACCCGAGCAACCCAAATAATCATGTGCCATTGCAGCAATGACTGGGTATTGATTGCTATGACGCTGCAAACAAACATAAACAATCAGCACTGAAAAATCGAAGCGATACAAGTAATTAACAAACCTTCCACCAAGCTAGCGCTGATTTAGGATCTCTCATATCATACTCAGGTGCTTTCATACGATCACGAGCACCCAGATAGTCCCTGAGTTGATTGGCATTGGTCGTCGCTTCTTCTTCATGAATATCATTGTAGACAGAAAATATTGATGGTTGAGGTAAATTTTCGATGTTTAATTCCGTTTGAGTGGTAGACGGAGTGTTTGGCAATTTATCCTTATTCGCCAAGGCAGACGCTTGATATTTTTGAAAGTGTTGATTGAAGAGGGCCTCGGCTCGAATTGATATCGCAGACGTTGGGCCAAAGAAAGTGTGGAAGAATTGCAGCCGAAATGCCGGGTGAAGTATGCAAGCCATTATCAAAGTGTCGCAAGATGGAGAAATACCAACCTTAGTGAGAAGAGCGTCGAGCTTGTTTGATTCACGCCGATGAGTTGGTTGGACTTCGTTTTCTAGAACTAAGAGAGGGTCACCGGCATCTTTGGCATCTGCGGCGTCCCACTCGTCTTCCTCGAAAGCAGCTATGTCAGGCTCAAGATCATCTTCTTCTCTTTCAGCAAGCTCCTGAATATTGGGTTCGGTTTCGAAGTCGTCGAATAGGGGTGGTTGAGGTACATCGGGTACCTCAAGCACAGGGCCAACATCGTCTGAAGCCTCTGGTTCTTCTTCTTCTTTGATGATATCAGTTGTGCGTACATCAGGGAAGTGTCCGTGCATTGCGACCTTTGTTTTTCTAGGAGGAGGTGTCTTGAGACCAAGTGCTGCAAGACCTGCTCCCACAATTAAAGCCATCTTGTGGCAGAAGCAGTAGATGTGCATTGTATGCGGATCCCAACTGTAGTTCAAGATGCCGTCGAGTTCAAGGAATTGGGAGTGCATTTCCCTAGCCATTGTGTTGTTATTAGATCCTGAATCAGTCGTCTGACAAAGGAGGTGGATAAATCATTCCGGTAAGCCTATTGAAGGAGTGAGAGAAATAAGAATAAGACAAAGAGGAAAAACTCATCTTATCCACCAAACCTCGCTTTGACAAAATGTTGACCATGGGCTCTGCTAGCCACTTACCTTTGTGTTGCCGAGCCACAAGCTTCAACGTAAGGTGACAAGATTTGAATTCCCAATCGTCATTGATGAAGGTCACCGCAGCACCAATGAATCCATGGCGATTACCCTTAGTTGTCCAAACATCTTGTTGAAGGGAAAACTTACTACTCAAGTTCTGTAGCATAGATAAATTGATTCAGTCTTTTAGACTTGATTTGAAGGATGAAAAAGACCTACCTTGAGTTCATCAAAAACAACCGTCTTCATTGATAGATTCAATCGCTTCGCCTCCTCAGCTGCCCACCGTCGACCATACAAATGAGCGTCAGGCCGTAAGAATTGAACTGCAGCTCGTAACCACGTGTTGTTCATCCGGGACCATGGAAGTGCTTGGCGAACAATCCAAATACACATCATTTGGTTGAATGTTAAGTTATCAAACTTTGCCTTTTGTCCTACAGTGACAAAGGATGACAAGGTACCGGGTTGGTTCTTCTTTGCGACGTTGGCCTGATGTGCCAACTCTGCGAGTGATGGAGGTACTTCAAGTCCGGATCGACGAGCTTTGTATCGACCAGGACATCCAGTCTTCTGACGACCAGGTGCTGGATTCCCATCTCGGTGACACTTGAGATTGTTTGTCAAGTTGCTGAGGCTGACTCGAACAATAGTCGGGTGGTTCTTATCGGGCGCACACCAAGAGCATGGATATGAAAGAGGGGGCAGATCACGGTCCTAAAAACGAGAGAAAAGGAATGAGAATATTGAAAAAAACAAGAAAGGAGATGTGATCAAAGTACTCACGTCTCCCTCATCCCAATCAGGTTCCCCATAATAGCCGTGCAGGCCTGAGTGGTCCGTTTTAGTGGCTCGGGGTTTAACTTTTGCATTTTCGCCGTCTGAATTGGCACGGAGTGTGTCCTTGGTAACAAAAGTGGAACCGGTTTCTGTTTTGGTAGGCTGTCAAAATACAAACAGAGATCGTTAGAGTTACTTATTCAACAAGGTAACCAGATGGACTGTCACTTACTTGTTTTTCAGTAGGCTTCTTTTTTTTCTTTGCTGGTTTTTTTTTCTGCTTCTTCTTTTCAGGTTGAACACGTTCATCCTCTGAAGATCCATCCAAAACCTCTACAACCCTTTTTGAAGGGACAGGAGTTGTGTTGATTGATAGTTGGCGTCTGCTATCCGGGCTGGGGGAGATCAGATTTCCGTGTTGTGAAGGTGATTGCCTTATACGGTGAGGTTGACTTGATGACGGTGTTGAATTGCAATTGCTGCCACTTGTACCGGGTTGTCCTTGAGACGATCCAAAGTCAAGTCTTGATTGCAGAGGCATGATAAGACGTGAGGTAGACAATATTTGTGAAAGATATAAAATCAAAAGATTAAGAAATAGATAATAGATGATGTGAAGTTGACAGATCTGTAAGTGATAAAAAAGGACCTGATTCGAAAAGATAATATTGTAAAGTAGTTGAGATCTTCTATCAGCACTAGTTGGCTTTGTAGAGTAATCTTTGAGAGTTGAGTCAAGGTGAAGTCGTTGAATAGTCCATGGTGCAAGGGGCTGGTGCAAGGGGTAGATTCCATGAAAGAGTGGCGGGATCGAGAGCATCTTGATACCAATTGAGACAACCGATTGCTTCTTTTGGCAATATTGAGAGGAATATGGTGTCAAGGGATTGTTTTTGAATGATACTTGACACATTTGGTAGTAATCTGAAGTGAAAGGGGGAGATAGTACGCTTCAGGCGCTGCAAGCGTTGAAGCGTGTCCCTAGGTCCTGGGGCGCAGCGGAAAAAAAAACATCCAAAAATACATTTTGAAAAGCGCTGCTTAGATCACACTGCGGGGTTTTGGAAAACCCTGATGCGTAACTGCCTGTGGCGCCGCAGCGCTGCCTCACAGTGCTGCGTGAAAAAGCAGCGCTTCAGCTTCTCACTGCGCTGCTGGTCCAGTGTTGCCCAAATGGAAGCCGGGGGAGAAATTATGGTTAAATGGCAAAAACTTGTCAACCACAAGGCCTCCAGCTAAGTTCTCACATCGCTGGCTAGGACCTTTTACCATCTTATCACAAATATCAAACAATGCTTACAAACTTAACTTGCCCAAGTCTATGGATAGAATACACCCTGTATTTCATGTTAACCTATTACGACAATTTGAAGAAAGCAAGATACCTGGACAACAAAAGAATCCGCCTCCACCAATAGTAATAGAAGAAGAAGAAGAGTTTGAAATTAATGAGATACTTGACAAAAGAATAAAAGGAAGAAAGATTGAATATCTCATCAACTGGAAAGGTTATAGTTCAGAATATGATTCATAGGAACCAGAAACAGGACTTCAAAACGCTCAAGATTTAGTAAATGATTTCAACAAAAAATATCCACAAGCTGAGTTCAGATATAAAAGGACAAGGAGAAAGTAGTGAGGGTGAGGCTTTTTCCCACTGGGTTTTTTAATGCCAACCCGTGGAAAGATGCTGGCCTGCAAGAGGGGGTTGAGTCATAAAAGGGGGAGTGGTGTTATGACCTCACATTTATAAGGCTTATCTTGTATGCTTGTACTGATTACGGTTGTCTTTAGTCTACTGCTCACACACGTAGACTGCTTTCCTCACTTGGCAATCTATCTTATCATCTAGAGGACCCTTTCACCTGTCCCTTGCATCTCTAAGCTATTCAGGTCCTAACAACATGCATGCGACCCGATATGAATACTTTCTTGAAGATATGGTTGAATGGCGGAACATGTGGTTCACCAATTCTCTCTCAGCTAGAAAAACTGTGGAATATATTGGTGTCCATAAGTTGTAATCAACTTTCAGGCAATGCAATGCAAGTATTTATCATTCCAGTAGATACCCTAATTGCCCCAAACTCATAACCCGTGACATTACGCGTGATGATTGCAGGGATGATCCACTTGCCTGGATCTCATGGGTTCGTCGTAGCAGATTACAGATTAGCTGTTGTTGCTCAATGGTTCAATTTTTACTTTCTGTCTAAATCTTTACCAAAATGATACTGATTTCTGCCAACATAAGTGTACTTCTAAAGCTTTGTAGTTAATAATACTACTAGCAACTTAGCGGCGGGCGCCGCCATTTCATGTATGGCCCAAAGTCATCACAATGTGTCTCACAAAGTCGGAGGTGAAAAAAATCCCATATATACCAACTATTGGCCATACAACCAAATGCCTTGAGAGGACAGAGAGACAGAATCACCTCAGCACAAAAGTATTTGAGCAATCTGAACAGAATTACCTATAAAAAGGACTGAGGTACCATGCAAAAATGGGTATTGCTTGAGGCGTAAACCTCATTCTTTTGAGACATTATCAGTAGAAACACCTCCTTCATGTTCAAGGTTGATGTTTTTGGTGTTTTGATCTTTTAATTATACATCTCAGTTCACAAGGCTTGTCAAACCCTTGTCCATACATCATTACTTTCATATGTTGAGCCACACTTGAAATTTTGATCCTTCAAATGCAGTAATGAATGTGGTCATTGATTGACCTATTTGTTACACAGAAAGTTTGTCCATAACACTTGCCTCACTTCATCATTCAAAGATGCAAGTCACTATGGGCAGTTTGAATCGAAATGTACTTATTTGTGAGGATTAAATTTACCACAGCATCCACTTTAATCTCATTGTCCTTGGTGAAGAAATGGAGGAAACGGCTTAATTAAAAGTACAGAAAGTACATCTCATTTGCACACATAAGAAAATGTCACAGAATTCAAGACTATACTGGCAAGGCTTCAGATGTTTTGTAAGCTGAAGATAGAGTATCTCAGATAGTCAACACAATCCATAACCCAAAGTAATACTCATCAAGGAACAGGACAATTGCCACATTGTCACACATAAATCTGGTTGTAGCAAGTGTTCACAAGACCCAAGACACAACTTCTGCATAAGAGAGCCAAGTTAAAAACATCAGATAGTCATATCAAACAAAATCCCAAAAATAAGTTGACTATACTCTCATGTGGTGGGCACAATATTTCAAAAAAGACACACCCAGTCGTGCCCAAGGGGGGTCGGGTGCACCCGCTATTTGCCTGGGCGCGTGAGAAGGTGCAACAGGCGCAAAGAAAAACAATAAAATCACATCCGGTTGATATAAAACAAACAATTGTACAAGATTTGCATTTACAAACATCTTTGCAACTAATATTTGTTCATCAACATCAATTTCAGCTTGGAATTGCAAAGTTTAACAAGACTTGCAATCTGTGGTATTGTAGACATTATGGGTTTGGTGGAACATTGACCAACCAAACACTGTTTCACATTCAGTTATAGTGAATATTTGTTTAAATGCTTTTAACCCAGTGATTAAGGGTTTTAATCCAGCCCTTCAGTGCCTGGATGTTAGTCTTTTGGTCAATTTTATTGCTGTGGTATGGGTCAAAGGTCATTTTTTATACTCTGGAGTATGTGGGGCGTGTTCACCCCCAAATCCAAGAGAAAGCCGCGCGCATCAAAACTCACCAAAGAGACAAGAGAAAGGCCGCGCGGGGCGCGTCCAAAGGCACAAAAAATGTGTTGTGCCCACCACATGACTATACTCACAAGCCTTAGATTGTCTAAGGACCAACAATCAATATGGAAATCAATACCCAGCTCATCTCTAAACCAATCCACCAAGTTCTGTGGCAAACAGATGTAAATCACTGTTTGTCAGATGGGGTACACACCCATACAATTCAACAACCACATAACAAGAGCTTTGCATGTGAAAATTCATGTGTAAAAAGACATATCAACCTGAGAAGAGTCCATAGTCCCACCAGCTCTGCATACTTCCAATTTGCGCCATGACAAGTTGTGAAGATTATGTATCCAGAGCTCATGATACCATGGTATATGTGTAATTGCACAAACTTGTATGAGATTGAAACATTGTGGAGTGGCATCTGTTGATCTGTGGTTGCAATTGGATTGATCAAAGTGCATTTGTATGGAGTTTATTGATTTGAACAGAGGAAGAAGGCCTTGCATAATCTGATGTGTCATTATCCACAACAAAAGCTGATAGTAGGAACTAACTGAGTGTTAGGACCTGGAATGGAGGATGGAGCGCTGAGGTGTAGTTGCTAGTATAACTAGATTGCAACGTGAAGACTAAAAGCTCAGTGAGAGCGCGCGCTGGGATATAGCTAAAAGGTACAACACGCAGCTATAAGCATATGCTACTAGAGAGACCATAACACCATTCCCCCTCTATACCTCCACTCCCTTTTGTTGAGTTAGGTATCTTTCCACGGGTTGGCATTAAAAACCCATTGGGAAAAAAGCTCACCCTCTCTCTCATCTTCTCCTTGTCCTAAAGTATCTTCTTTCAGCTTGAGGATATGTTTCATTAAACTTGTTCACCATTTCTCTTGCATTTTCCAAATTTTCTTCTGGTTCCCACGAATCATGATTTGCTCCATAACCTTTCCAACTAACCAAATACTCTATCTTCTTTCTGATTATTCTCTTATTCAATACTTCTTCTACCTCAAATTCTTCATGACCTTCTACTTCTATCGGTGGTAGTTCAGTCTCAACTTGCCCTCTTATTTCGCTTTTGGTAAATTTTCTAAGCAAGTTGACGTGAAACACCGGATGAACTTCTTTCATTTCCTTTGGTAAAATCAATTTGTAGGCGTTAGTTGATATTCTGTCAGCAATTTTATACGGGCCAATCCATCTATGGGAGAACTTAGCGGTTGGCCTAGTGGTGCTGATATGCTTGCTATTGAGCCACACCTCTTCTCCTTTCTTCCACGTCGGCGTGCTTTGCACTTTCCTGTCAAATTGTTCTTTCATTGATTTTTGAGTGTCTTCCATAGCCATCTTTAATTCATCTTGCACTTCCTTTATTAATTTCATCCTTTCTTTGGTCGCAGGTAGGCATTGATCTTTGCTGGGCGTTCCTGTTAGGCTAGCATCGAAGCCATAGTTAGCCTTAAAAGGAGACATCCCTATTGAAACGGGAAAGTTGTTGTTATATGAAAACTCCGCCAGAGGTAGGAGATCTTTCCAATCATCTTGTTTGTAAGATACAAAATGTCTCAGGTATTGTTCAACTGATTTGTTCGTGATTTCAGATTGTCCATCTGTTTGCGGATGGTACGCAGTCAATGATTGTGTCCTAATGCCTAGTAACGAATTCATCTCTTTTGTCAGCTTTGATATGAAAATATTTCCCCTATCAGACGTTATTGATCTAGGGGTTCCATGTATCTTCCACACGTTATGAAGCATTAACTTAGCTAGTTCTTCTGAAGTCATTGTTTTCCGGCATGGAATAAAGTGAGCCATTTTCCTG